TTGTTGAATGATGACATCTTTATACGCGGTTGTCGGTACAAGTACGAAATTCCTTCGGAGCCCTTTCATAATTACTCTGTGAGTAGGTATTTTCAAATACGAATCCATGTCTTCTCACAAAGGTTTTAAAAGTGTCGCAAACATGCACTTTGAATCACTGCCATCTACTTTGCTGCATACAAAGTTTCCATATTTTTTCAAGTAACCATATAATAAATTATACGCTATTCTCACCGTGTAATATGGAAAACAAAATGTTCATTTTAAAACAAATCTCCGATATTGTAGATTGTCATTTCATGTATAGGTAGGCGTTGTCTTAAATTGTGTACAATTATTGCAATTTCTAATTTCATTCAATCATCAATGTCAGAAGTTTATTGTAACGTTTTCTATTGTTGGTTAATTTCATAATTATATAATTAAAAATTGTATTTATATATAATATAATTAGTAATTTATATATAAATCGTCCGCAAAATATCACAGGGTCATTTACGCATATTAAGAATAACAATTGTCCCAGCGCACTGCCTTGAGGTACTCCCTTATTCACTACTCTGCATGCGTTATTAAGACGTAAAATTTCTCAATTTATAACTCACATTAACACTTTATTAATTTGAGTTGATTGTCCTTTATTGCTCAGGTATGATTTGATTTGTTCCTGTGACTCATATAACCCAATATCTAGTTTAAGACATCGGCAGATTTCTATCCTTCAAAGGAATATGATAGGTTATTAATTGTATAATTTACCGGGTCTTTACTGCGTGCTTTCTTTATTTTATATTCTTTCATATTTACTTCTAATTTTATTTTGTTTCTTACTTTTACAAATATTGTTTGTTATCTTAAATGCGAGTTTTATCTTGTTAAATAGCACCTACAGTAGAACTATTGTATTGTATCGGGAGGTGGGAGTCTAGAGGTCTGTCACACAGGTTAACACCTAGTATGGTCTCCTATTGCTATAAAGTCGTATATTTATTATTATTAGTAGTAATGAAGTCGTGATAAGTATAGCAACGTCGTTGGTACCGCTGGACGCAATAGATGGTTGGGGCCAGTCGCGGCGGTGCCACTAAGGTTACGGCTACCTCTTTTTCTTTTCCACCTTTTTAAAGCCGTCCTCGTCGCACTGGTCTACTCCTCTCAGTGGTACTGATGACACAGCTCCAGAGATGAGTTTCCGCCTTTTCTTCTTCCCCTCTGTTGGTTGCCTGGGTTGTGGTTGTGGAGCAATGGGTTGGGTAGCAGCGGCAACAGCAGCGTAATCACGTCGAGGGGTCAACGTGCTTACGAATGACGTCTCCGCCAGGGCGGAAAAACGGGGGGCGGGGCGCGGGGAAACGGGTGCGGGAAAACGTGCGCAGCGATAGCGGCAGCGGTCGGTGATACATCCATATGAGCCGACTCAAAACAGTCGATAGATGCGTTTTGCGCCCCGCGACAAGTATTGCAAGGCTTGCTTTTAGGGACGTGGTGTCCTTCAGTAGCCTGGTGACGTCGACATGGTCGAACGTGACAGGGGCAGCTTGTGCACCTCCTTCGCCACGAAAGCAGGCACGTTGTCTGGGTCGGTCTCCTTAAACAGGGTAAATGGAGACTCTTCACTCCTCCATCCCTCCGGCGAGATGGCATCTGCTCGGCCTAGCCGAGCGTGCGGAAAAGCAGCGCCTTGCCACTGCAAATCTCTTCTTCTTTGAAGTTTGACTTGCAGATCTGCACGATGCTGACCTCGTCCACAGTGTCGATGGCGTATTGGATGAACACCAGCAGTTCATTGGTTATGAGCTGTTGAGAACCCATAGTCAACTACGCGCAGCGGCTATTGCCGCGCGAGTCGCGAATTATTATAATTCTTACTGGGTGGTGGAGCACTTCCGAATCTCGTCGTGCACCGCACCGAACACCGACGATATAGTCCGCATGCTTGTGTACAGTCATATACACAAGATACCTGACCTCCCAAGCCGACTTTCTCGAACTTTTGGTTCTGAGCACAAAAATGTGGAGAAAATTGTTAAATAAACTTAATTTTTAACTCGTGAGCCGTAAAATTTATTTTGGTATGACTCCCTGGTCGACTCATTAGTGAATGACATTTTAAGAAAGTTTTTAAGCAAATTTGATTTTTAAGGTATGGTTGTTACTTAAATACAGAACACAAATTTCAACCAGCTTTAATAATGCCGACGCGGCCAAACGGTATAGGGATTGCTTTGCAAATTGAGGCAAGCATGGTTCGAGTCACTTTAAAAATAAAATATTGTTTAGCTATGACTATATAATATTCTGGAATTAACGTCTGGATAGATGTAAGGAATGTCTAAGTCTTGATCATACAGAACAATAATTTCTTATTTTAATAATTCCGTTAAGTGTGGCATATTAAAACAAGAAAGAAAACTTTGAAAGTCACTAAAACCTTGAAAGTAATTAAAACTGAATAAACAAATAGGAACGAAACGTGGAACAATGCGTAATCACAGAAGACACGGTCGTATGCAAACTGCGGAGCGATTTCGTGATTTGTTAATCTATCCATACCTACCCTACGCTTTATTAATAATATCTACCCATCCTTACCTACCCAACCTTAGGCAATTTCTAGTGAACAAATATTGTGATTTGTCAACGTTAAGTCAATGATGTTAACATTAAAAAGTGAAACATTGCTTTTAAAAATATAACGTTAAAACAAAACAGTACTCGCGGAATCGAACCACTGGTATTGTAACTGGCAGTCGATACAACAAGTCGCTCGACCAATTTACTTGGAAGTTAAATGACGAAATTTAGTATTGGTTTTAAAGTGATGTTGATCATCTTCAAGCAACACTCCACTCTGTATTGCTTACACAATCAAGTTGAAATTGCTTGAATTTTTTCTTTGTTCAATACGTAAGATGGCTTTCAGAACCAAAAGGTCGGTTTGGACATGTTAGGGGGTTAGGTATCTCATGTATATGACTGTACCTAATTAAAAATTTCGCATGAAATTACGCACAATGTCATAGGGTAACAAACAAAAGTTAATCAAACGAGGTTATCAATAATTGAATTTAAGAAACTATTAGAGTATATGTCCAGTAATATTATTTTCAGGTATATTCCTATGGCGCCTGCAGGCTGGCGGAAACGACAGAGCATGCATTCAACCATTGCAGTTGTGTTCATCCAGTGAGGGATACCTCTTGTAAGTTACTTGGGTAATCTTCACCAAACAAAAGCATAGACGCGTAGATATTAATAATAATATTAATATTTCCTATTTACAAAATTATTGTAACAATTTTCAGATGAAAATCTTTACTGCAACTTTTCTGGTTTACACTGTTTGGTTGATTACGAAAGTGAGTGCAAATTTAACAGCGTTACTATTTATTGTGTTTGTCTGAACAACATATGCATGTATTTAAAACGTTTGCAGGTCTGCAAGTAAACCAAGATGATGACAAAGAAGCCGATAACTGCCTGCCGTCGTGTGATGAAAGTGAGCTTAGTACTATCCACATCTCGAGGTAATTTTTTTTAAGTTTTCTTGCGTCTCTAATTATGTCCTGCTCCAATAATAGCCTTTTTTAACCGACTTCGAAAAAAGAAGGAGGCTCTCAATTATTCTGTGTGTTTTTTAAATGTATGTTACTCTATAATTTGTGATTTGTGAGCCGATTTTGATGATTCTTTTTTGTTGGAAAGAGTACCTCAGTAGTGGTACCATTTAGGTTTGAAGAAAATATTCCACATATATATTCCTAAGAGTGGCAAACTTTTGAGGTCGGTTTTTTATGGTTTTTTTAGTACTCTGTACTGAGATTATTTGATATCATGCATGTGGCTTTTTATTTCAAATTGCTTATATGACTACCATTATATGGAAATGACAAATATGAAATAATTTTTTTCCGATCTAAATTTAATATATATAAATTATTTGTTTGTTCAAACAAATCAACGTCTCGGGCCCTTTGTAGGTCCCATGACAGGTGATCATCAGTTGGTCATCTGAAAAAAAAAGTAGCTTCATTTGTAAAAATCGCGAAAACCTTAGAACTCGATGATACGAAAAATTACAGTGTTAAAAACACAGCCATCGCCCAGCTAAGTACTCTCTCACTCTCTGAGTAATAAATACAAAAGATATTGTAATACTGTGGTAATACTGTACTTTAGATAATATTCAATTATACCCTTAAATTAGGACTAGAAATTGTGTTATTATTATTATTATCAATATATCGATAAATTTGTATTGTATTTTCGTTCAGGGGGTGGTACTACGACCAGCCAGGTATAGGCACCTCGGTGAACATCCGAATGACCTCACTCCCGTCTTTGCGGTACCAGAGAAATCAGTTTCGGACAGAATTGGATTTAGTTGGTAATGCACAAGTTTATCAATACGTGTAACATGCCTAAACCACATTCTGTATACTCTGATCGATTGATTGGACGTGTTTAGCCTTAATAGGGGTCTGTGGTAACCTTTTTTAGGGACCTAAATCATAAGGCCAAGTGCGAATAGACGATGATAAAAAGCCTAGTCAAACATTTCTTTCTATTTAGAGTAATAATCAAGTGTACTACTGGAAGTGGAATATTTCCCATATTTTTTTAGAATACCAAATAATTTTATTTTATTACAGTGTCATTTGGAGGTATGTTCGGGCTATTCTTCAGCGCTTCTATATTAAGTTTGGTGGAAATATTGTATCTCATATTAAGAAGTCCTTAATGACAAAGTACAGTCTAAAAATATCGCCACGAATCCTTGTTTTATTTATTAAAATAAATTGTTTGAAACGTCGGTAAATTGTGCGGTAAAATACGTTACGGGTTACGATTATACCTTAGCAACGTACTCGTTTTATCAATATTACGCTAACCGAGAAATCATCTCTGCACACATAAAGAATGTCATTATCGGTTTCCATACATTGCAAAGGACATTATTTATAATTGTGCTTCCTTGTGAGTAAAAAGAAGCTTTCAACATGGGTAATACAGAGAGCAACGTAACAAGTGGAGTCAAGAAACAAGCAGGGACCTCAGAACAGAAGCTTTACAAGCTCATCGATCTGAAAGGTAAGTAAATTTTTTATGTAATGGAAAACACTTTTTATATTCAAAAATTCTTTACAAGAACCACATACGTATTGATAAACTTAAGCAAATCAAACATATTTGTAATAAATATTTAGGTACAGATACTTACTGAAGTCATTACGTAGGTTGTAACTTACAAAGCCCTGCATTTCAGGCTGTGGCCTTCTAGTAGATATGATGAAGCGAGCAGTTCAAAATAAGCAATATACGGAGATCGATCACGCAATCAAAACGAAGGTGGAGCCATTCCTTTACAACAAGGGCAAGGGACGCTATATACCCATATCACATCTTGTACTTGAACGTAATAAAGAACGTCCGAGACACAGACTGGTAAGGAAATGTTACGTTAGGAGCCCAGTTCTTTTTTCTTCCAACAAAGTTTTCGTGTATTTAATATGTGGGATGTAATGTATTGTACCACAAAACAAATGGTATGAGTTAACAACAATTTAAAAGTGTCTAACCAAGTAAGCAATTCAATTAATGACTATGAAGTTGTGTTGTAGCTGCCACCATTAAGGGGTATGGAGAACCCAGACGAAGAATTTGACGTAGAGAAAGATTGGCCAGTAGTTACTCAAGAAGAATATGATGCAAATCCTTCGGGGTATAGAGAACTTTGTTGGGATTTAAAGGTATGTTATGCCTGTTAATTTCATTACCTACGTAATTATACAATTATGATTGTTGTTGAATTATCATTATCAATAAACTGTAATCCTAATTGTTCAATTGTTGTGTTTTAAAACTGCCTTATAGGAACGAGGTGCAGTCGGCGAAACAATTCTACATCTCTGCCTGTTGAATGCAACATCGCTTTTAGCAGATCTTGCTAAGAGGTTACTTCGCTTCTACCCAAAATTAATTAACGACATATACATGAGCGACGAATATTATGGTGCGTATATTTTGCTTCCCGCGTCTACTGCGTTATTTTCATACTTGCCTTGACTCAAAAAACAAAGTGATAGCAGGTAATTTGATAGAGTATCCGATAACTGTTAGCTAAAAAATTTACCGGTGCTGATTTATGAAACACTTCCCCATGCCGTGATTTATAGGTAAACTATGGTGCAAAAAATTAGTGGTTGCGTGGTATGGTTGACACGTTATACATATTCGTAAAGTATTAATTTTTGATATGAGTGAGTAGGTACTTTCTCATATAGTAGTAGTATCTATGTGCATAGTAAACAAAATAGTCTGAGTACGTGTTCCGTAATAAGTGCGCAGTTATAGAATGCTCATTACGTTATAACTATTAAATAAAGGATAATATTATTTGATCCTCAAAGATATAATTGATCTATTGTAAATGTGCACTTTTTAAATAAACGATATGTTTCTATGTTTTATACCTACATATTAATTGTTCCATCTATAATTTATAATTTATTGCATTTATAATTTATAAATGAACTATAAATTATAAATGAACTGCATTCAAGATAACAAACAAAATTATTATGTTTTTAACAGACTTCAAAAAAGGAAGAGGTTCTCAATTCGACTGTATGTTCTTTTTTTCTTTTTTTTTGTGTGTATGTTACGCGATAACTCCGGTATTTGTGAACCGATTTTCATGATTCTTTTTTTGTTGGAACCCCTTACGAAGTACCCCTTACTTCGATAGTGGTCCCATTTCATTTTGAAGAAAATCACTCACCTCCAAGGATGGCTGTTCACGCATGAAGATTCATTTTTATAAATAGCGCCTAACTTTAATTTAGGAGCAATTACTTTAATGGTTGATTTTGCTATTTCTCCAATTCAAGGCGTTTTTCTCTCAATATACTTTGAGTAGTGTCGTAGTGAGAACCTATATTTATTATCTCTAGGGTCAATTCCTGTATAATGGCGAACTAGGGGATATTTCAATAAAACTTAGCAAATAGACGTAATTCCACGTACTTTTGAAGTTGGTTTTTTTAGTACTTTAGTGCCAAGTTTTATTGAAATGTCTCCTAGTTCGCCACTATACAAGACTTGACACTGGATATAATAAAAATCGGTTCTCACTACTCAAAGTATATTGAGAGAAAAACGCCAAAAAGAATCATGGAGAAATAGCAAAATCAGCCATTAAAATAATTGCTCCTAAATTAAAGTTAGGCAATATTTATAAAAATGAATCTTCATGCGTGAACAGCCACCCTTAGAGGTGGATGATTTTCTTCAAAATAAAATGGGACCACTATGGAAGTACCCCCTTTCTAACAAAAAAGAATCATGAAAATCGGTTCACAAATACCGAAGGTATCGCGTAACATACATACAAAAAAAGAACATACAGTCGAATTGAGAACCTCCTCCTTTTTTGAAATCGGTTAATAAAATTAGTTATAAAAATAAGCGCCTAAATTTTATTTTAAATGCTCACTTGTCTTAGTCTTAAGGGCCAACATAAAACTGTCAAGTTATTAATATACCAATCACACATTTTTGCGTATCTCAGAACAGATTAAAATATCCATCGATTTAATTTATTTTATATCTTAGAAAAAGAGGACCAATCATTAAAAAAGATGACCATTTAGATTTTAATGCCTGCTGTTTTCCAAATTTGAAAGAATCATATAAATACATGCTTTAAATGAATAATTGGCACTGAATATAATAAATAATATTTACTGGTGAATACTGAAAAACATCACTATGCTGAGGCCTTATCCTTTTCATCAATATACCTACTAGAAATAGAAATCAGAGTAGCTCATATTTATTAGTACATATATCATATGAGTTTCTATATAAGTATATGTGTGTTTCATGAATAAAGTCCTATTTAATTTAATTTTCAAGGTGAAAGTGTACTCCATATGACAATAGTAAATGAGGACCCAACTATGGTAAAGTTTTTATTGGATGCGGGTGCAGACTTTCACGAGCGATGCTGTGGCAATTTCATGTGCCCTGAGGATCAGAAGGCTTCCCGTACAGATTCATTTGAGCACGAATGGGTTAATGTACAAAGGGAGACTAATTATATTGGGTGAGTGTACCTATTATTGCAATAGCAGTCTGGACCTTGACTTTTACTCGATGTGGACATCATTTATCGATGCTTTTGCTACATTCTTATTTTAGTTGGCACATAATAAAGCTTAGCGTACGCTATACTCTTTCAAGTCTCATTCTGGTTACGGATGATTTTTAAAATATGCGACCGGATCATGACGCTGTCTTTTGTGGAACCTGACTCTGCGGAGTCAAGCATCCACTGTCAGACTTTTCATCGAAGATGTTTAAAACAAGATTTTTCATTTCTTCCTTATTAGAATTCCTGGGGCCTTAACATGAACTCTTATTACAGTTCAGTATAGGTTCATAACGACAAAAAAGCGGGATGGTGATATTACACTTCATGTAGCGTTATCTCACAACAATTCATTATAGGTCCTAAACTGAATCGTAATAAGAGTTCATGGTAAGGCCCCTGAACACTTCCATATTACGAATTTTCCAATGTATTTTAAGGTACGTCTACTGGGGGGAATATCCTCTAAGCTTTGCTGCCTGCTTGGGTCAGGAGGAGTGTTACCGCTTAATTCTCGCCAGAGGGGCAGACCCCGATAAACAGGATACCAATGGGAACACTGTCTTACATATGCTTGTCATTTATGAAAAGACGGTATGTTGAATTTTCAATAAAATCTGCAAACTCTATCTAACCAACTGATACTTAAAAATAAACGATTACTGTGATCTGTGTTTAATCGTCCAACCTATAAATAGAGGACTATTGTTATAATTTTAAATGATGCTGCTGTTCAATCACGCAAGATATTAACTACATCAGAGCTTCTACTACGAGTTTACTGTGACACTTTGCGTTAGCGATCGTAAATTACTTGTACGGTAAATTATTACAAAATTTTGTATGCAAACGTTTTACGCGGTCGCTAGCGATAATTGTCACATGCAATCATCATGCAATGTATTTTGTCATAATATCTTTAGCTGTTATCATTTACCGTAACATAAATATCATACCTTTAGTGTAAAAGGCCACATCTGCAAAATGACAAAATATCAAGAGAGGGGTTTAAAGAATCTACGAACAAAATTAGTTAATATCTGTCATGAAAATTGACATGCACATAATTTGTTTCATATATTTCGTATTATTTTGATGCCTTTCATATTGTAAGTCAATGCTTTCATATGATAAAAGTACTTTTGACGCAAGATCACACTATGATGTGATATTATTATACCAAGGGGACGATATATTAAGAGTATTAATGTAAACGCTTTTAAAAATAAAATATTTTAGAATAATTAAATTGAGAAAAAAAAAATTTTTCTGTAGAGTACATTCGACATGGCCTACGAGGTGGGGGCGTCTTTGAATATTCGCAATGTGCAGAACTTAACGCCTCTGACGCTGGCAGCGAAATTGGCGAAGACCAGCATGTTCTTCCACATTTTGAACATCGAAAGAGAAATCTACTGGCAGATTGGAGCCACAACATGTGCCGCGTACCCCTTAGGGCAGGTTGACACCATTGATACCGAAACGGGGTTGATAAGCAAGGACTCTGCACTTAACTTGGTTGTCTTTGGAGTAAGATACAAACAACTATCATATAATTATGTAGTCTTATATTTCATGTATAACAAGCCTAGTAGTTAGGCCGAAATCAAACACCGAAATTAGATTTACAATTTAGTTTTAGTACAGAGTAAGTTCAATTTTTCATAATATTAAATTTTCAGGAAAAAGACGAGCATCTGGAATTATTAGAAGGAATGTTAATCGATCTCTTAAAAACGAAATGGAATACGTTCGTGAAGTTTCGTTTCTATCGGCAATTTCTGTTGTTCTTCTGCTACTTTCTAGTATCACTTGTGTGCTTCACTCTGCGGCCGGGTCCACCCGACCGGGCTCTTAATGGCACTGCCATAAATACCACAGTAGGACCTCTTGACCCTGAACTCGTAGCTGATGTAGGTAGGTTTCCTTTGGGTGTTTCTATGTTACCTTATGTCATATTATTTATGCAAGGATCTTTGTATGCGCATATACACGTAATTAATATTTTCTTATGTCTTCTAATAATCGACGTACAGAGTACTAAAAAAACCGACCTCAAAAGTTCGTGGAATTACATCTATTTGCCAAGTTTTATTGAAATCGGTTACCGAAAAGTACGCAAAAACGGATTAATCCCCTAGTTTGCCATCCTTAGAAGTGGAATATTTTCTTCAAATTGAAATGAGACCACAACCAAGGTACCCTCTTTCCAACAAAAAATAATCATCAAAATCGGTTCACAAATGGAGCCGAAGTTATCGCGTAACATACAAACAAAAAAAAAGACGGATTGAGAACCTCCTCCTTTTCTGAAGTCGGTTAAAAAATTCTTGAATTAATTAGACATTAACCGCAATACACAGCTGTCTCTATTATTTTTATTTCATTATTACATTTCTTCGATTGTACCCCTTAATAAGGGTGCGAAAGTTTGTCAATTTTTTACCAGGCTATAATATTCTGTTACGTATGTAATATTAATCCAAACCTCTTCATTTTTTACACGCAAAAAGAAGATAAATTATCTATTTTAGTGAATCTCAATTTTCTGTTTTCTACGGAAAACATAAATATAAATTACGCACGAATAAAATAATATAACTCTGTTACGCATAAATCGACATATAAAAAACATTTATATCCTTTTCGTTTCTTTAAAAGTACTTTGAATGTTTATTTTTGTAATGTTAATTATTTACTTTGCTTCTTACTATTGTCTCATACAATAAGCACGCAAAAGTATTTATTTTTTGTATTATTTTTTGTATGTATTTCACTATTATAAAGTTTGTGCGATACGCTTGTCGGTTGCTTATCGTTTTTACACAAATAATAGTACAAAGTTCTTTGAAATTGTAGTGCAAATCTATTTCACAAGAATAAAAAACATGGTTTTCTTACAATTTCTTGAAAACTTATATGTTAAAATTTCTTTTACGAGTTTAAAACACAGGGTAATTTTGTGTACATGATCTTCGTCGGATAATTATTTTTTCGAAAATGTGCAAAGTTATTAAAGATCTTACTCTTTTTACCCGACTTCAGGAAAAGGAGAAGGTACAATTCGACTGTTTTTTTTTGTATGTATGATATTCAACTCTTTTGTGAATCGATTTTGCTGATTCTTTTTTGTTTGTTCCATTTACATTTCAAGACAATATTCCACCTTAGATGTGGGTGGCAAACTAGAGAAACAACGACTTTTGAGGCCGGTTTTTTATTAGTTTTCCTCTATATACTTGGTGCAGCCGTCGAAGTATGGGAAATTGAAAGTGTGTCAATGTTTACAGAAAACTGTAGTATTCCTTTGAATGGATCAGAATTTGATCCCGGAGCAGTAGAGTTTGTTAATGGTACTAAATCCGATGGACACAGTGCATGTGGGAGATTCAAGAGTCACCCTAAAGACAAAGATAAACGTAAGTATTATTACTTGGTGGAAAAATCTAATTTATAATAACTATCAATGATTGTTAAGAATATTATTTAATTTTAGCTACCGAACAGTCGAAGGAAACAGATATGGAAAACTGGTGGGAAGATTTAACGGAAGAATGCAGATTAATGAACCTGGAAAGTTGGCAAGCAAAAGTACGTCGATACTTAAATGTAATTGAAAGGTAAAAAGAAAAGTTGATATATTAATAATTTTATTACAGGTCAGGATCTCGGCGGAGTTGCTTTTGTGGTTGGGAGCTTTGGCTTATATTGGAGCAGCTTTAAGGGAAGCCAGATTTCTTGGACTGAAGATGTTTATTGAGAACCTAAGTACTGTGCCTTCAAGGTACCTAAAGTTGTCTTAATGTCAACCCAGAGTATCTCGATACTCTCGATGTATCTACTATGTATTTATAATAATCTTTTTTTAGGGTGATGTTTCTCTTTTCGTGTCTTCTAATGGTGGTTCTGCCGACATTTCGTTTTTGGTGCGCAGATGTAGTGGAAGATCATCTCGCTGTCATCATTATGTTAACCACTGCTCCATATTTCTTATTCTTTTGTCGGTTAGTTATTGTTAGTAATTGCTGTAACATGGTTCTTGTCTGCTAAGGATTAAATAAATCAATGTATTGACAGTGGCTTCAAAACTGTTGGTCCGTTCGTAGTGATGATCTACCGAATGGTGATGGGTGATCTGCTCCGTTTCGTATGCATTTATTTGGTGTTTGTTATGGGATTCTCTCAAGGTATGCTTTTATCTATTTAAATTAGGAGCAAAGTAATAATAATAATAATAAGCTGAGAAGAATAAAGGAAATAATAATAACACGCAACATAGCACCGCACTAGGGAAACCCTGTGTCGCGGGTGCCATAGACACACACGTAAACAACCACAAATTACACCCAAACTCACGTGACAAATAAATGTAAGCCACACAAATATTTCTTCCGACCCGGGAATCGAACCCGGGACCTTTGCGTGGCATGCCCGACTGGGCATGGTAACCGTTCGGCTACAGAGGCAGTTAAGTGATAATTAGCTTAGCGCTATTTATTAAGCTTGTATAAAACAATTTATTTTTATGATCGAGATGTATTTGAAATGCATGTTCATACAATAATAATATTTTTTCTTCCAGCGTACTATGTAATATTCCTGTCTTTCGACAACCCGAATACACCAGAAGGCGTAGATGACTCCATTTCTAATCCTATGCCATCACCTATGGAGAGTATCATGGCTATGTTTTTAATGTCACTTACGTCATTCTCTGACTACTACGGCGCCCTTGATCGCACAGACCACGAAGTAGAGGCAAAGGTGAAATGCGCCATTATGGTTTAACACACAGATCACAAGTTTAATATAATAATAATAATAATGCACACACTCAACATAGCCCCGCACTAGGGAAACCTTGTGTTGCGGGTGCCATGGACACACACATAGACAACCACAAATTACACCCAAACTCACGAGAGAAATAAATGTAGGCCATACAAATATTTCTCCCGGCCAGGGAATCGAACCTAGGACCTCTGCGTGGCAGTCCGGCACGGTAACCGTTCGGTCACAGAGGCAGTTAAACACAATATTGTTAGTAACCAAGGCCTGAATTGTAGATAAATGTGTTTACAATAATATAATGCAATATATGGCTACAAAACAAATGTTCGGTACAATTGTATTGTGTCCAAGTTTTTACCCCATAGCTTTGGACTGATGCGTCGGTCGTGCCAGTCTTTACTGGCACGACATACGTAAAAAATATTTGTTACAGTTACTCTTCGTCATATACATGATAATAGTAGCAGTTCTGCTAGTTAATATGTTGATTGCTATGATGGGAAACACGTATCAGAAGATCGCGGAGACTCGAAATGAATGGCAAAGACAATGGGCAAGAATTGTGCTGGTAGTGGAAAGAGGTGTGCCTCCGGCGCAGCGGTTGAAGCAACTTCTCGCGTATAGTCAGCCGATGGCAAATGGGAAAAGGGCCTTGGTGTTGAGAATAAATCAAAAGGTACTTTATATTTACAGTATAGCTTTACAAATGATAGTAGTTTTTTTTAATAGTAAAGTTAGCTGGAAATTACATTTATAGAATTAGAACATATTAAATTATAATATTAAATATGAAGTTCCTCATGCTGTTTGTAGTAAAATAACGTATTGTTTTGAATAGGATGAAGATAAAGAAGAAATGAAAGAGATATTAGAAATGAAGCGCACACACGATCGAATCGTTGCTAAACGAAAGGCTCGAGAGGCTGAAATGAAAGGGCCAAAGGGATATGCGCCGCCGCCGGCCAGGGACTACCCGTTGACGAAGCAGGACAAGACCAAGAAACGAGCTATGTTCTAATCCAATGTCGATGTCTATTGGAATAAGATTATGCATAAAAATAGTATCAACATTTCAGTACCTAAAATATTTGTATTCCTATTTATAGGTGCTGTTAGCGGTGCGTATCTAATAACAGATTTGGGAAATAAGAATTATGTTTCGAAACCATACATAGATTTATATAAGAATTAGTAGGTTTTGTTGGTTACAAAATGCCATTTTTAGTCAGCAGATAAGCAAAGGTGTAAATTGTGACTACAGCGTTCCGTGTCGTGTAAACGGTGCGTTAAATTTTCACTCTTACCTCATTGTTTGCACCTCAACCTGTATCTAGGCTACTTGTACTTTTGCTTAGCCAAATAGTCGGCAGCATATTGTAGACTTAGTGTGCGAATGGCACATGGCGATCCATGGCGAAAAATCTTATATTTTGTTTATTTGTAAATTCGTCTCTGTTTTATTCTTTCACAATTTTAAGTTGAACTATTGACAAATCCATAAACAAACGAATAAGTGATGTCTACAATCATTAGTTAAGGTCAAAATTATGTTCGCTTTTGAATTTGGATACATTAATTACCAAGTGGTATGCTTGATAGGTTAGAGAATCGGGCTTGATCTTGAATAGTTAGTCATTTTTGTTTTTATTCTTAATTTATGACAGGTTTTATTCTCAGAAGAATATCCAAGAACTGATTTTTATTTTATTCTTGTTAAATACAACATATCATGAACAAATAACTTACAAGTTGATCTCATCAAGTAGGAGAAACTGTTTAACGGGATATGGCCTGAGTGAAACCGGAAAGGTTTAACACGTCTTACGAAATGTTATTAAAAACAATACACGTTTCATTCTCAGTAATTTTTGTAAATGCTTCACTTTGGCTTCTTTCTATATCCGTTAGGTTATACTATAGATTATACCATCCACATAAGCAGTGTATTATCAGTTGAGAAGAGAAGAGTTCAAGGTTAAACCTCTTGCATGGTTGTTGGCGTGGTGACTTGAACCCAATAGGTTTGAGTATAACCTTATGCTATTTAAAAAGCAATTAAACAGTGTCCAAATCCTTTGATATTTGTGTATTTATTTTGACGTTTTTTAAATACTTTTAATTACTTATCATTACTGTTGACAGTATTTTGTAATTATCGACGGTTAAATACGTAAGTACTTACATTTTACAATTTGTTATCATTAAAATAGACCTAAATAACGACCACCGCGTTTAAATTACTGGCCGACTTATTAAACTCATGTTGTGTGCAGGTCCATCTGATGTTATTGAAAAAAAAACATGTTACACCTAATGCTGTTCATGTGATTAAATGTATAATATACCTTCCACTGTTACTATGTATGTATGTATGTATATACTTTATTGTACAACAAAACAAATGGTAAATGTTAGTGTACAAAGGTGAGCTTATCTCATAAAGGGATTTCTTTCAACTATCCTTTATTTGTATGCCCAATGTCTGGTAGGGCACAATAAAACTATACCTACTTATTACGTTAAATGTCAACTTATACACAACGTAGGTTGTTTTCACAAATGAATTACTAATTACTGCATCAATTTAATTAAATTTACTATTAAAATTTCATCAATATTTATAAATAATAAAACCAATACATATAATGTTTTCACATAATTGACGAGTTTCAAAATTGACCAGTTGACGAAAATTGCCTATTAACGAAAATGGCTAGTGGTTAGGGGTAATTCTTATATGTGGAATTAATTGAATTGAATTATGTGAATGAATTTTAATAAACTACTATAATATTCCTACACTTATAAAAATAAAATTAATAAAACATAAAAATAACTAAGCAGTTCAAGTCACACTAAAGTTAGATAGTGTTCTTTAAGCATATTTAATTATATGAGTCCATTACTTATGTTCAATATAAAAAATGTGAGTGACAATTACTTACATGAGTCCCTCTTACGCGAATTTTCACCTAAGCGCCTATTGCGTCAATGGATGAATTTAAATGAGCGACGTATGAAAAGCCGCGGATGCCTAAGCGTGCAGGTCATTTAGTCAGTGAATCAACTCTTAGCTAGTGCTTACTATTGATTAGTGACTTGTTATTTTCTATAACAGAACTCTGGACGTGTTTCGAGTATTTTGTTCCACTTATTACTGTAGCTTCGAAATGGTTGCCTACGATCAAACAATGTGTGGTTCAAGATTACAAAATCTTTTCCATTGAAAGTTTTGAATATTTTTGACTTGAACGGAATTGTTATAAGGTTTATAAGTACAATAAATATTTAAATAATACGATGGAAATAAATAAAAGAGACCCTTGGTCGATTTCGACATTATGAACAAAAGTTTCTAATGCTCAATGGCCAGCATTGCGGGCCTGTATCTTGAAGCACAGTGAATAGGAACGACCAGGTCGGACCTTGACTCTTGGCATTGCCGCCGTTATTGAGTGATGACGGCTATCCAACACTTTGTGCGTTGTCTATACAAGTTGAGTTTTGGATATTAGATATTTGAAAACGTTTTTTTTTTTCTATAAAGGCACAAATATTTTGACAATTACTCTTACGACATTTATATTGGTAAGTATGAAGTAAGATGCTGAAGAATATACAAACTTCAACAAAAACCTCTGATCTAATGTGATTAGAGACAAATCACACAAAACATTTTTAACAATGACCAATTTTTATCTAGTGATAATGATCATGAGTACCTAAATAGCGCAGTAACCTAAATTTTAGATTTCCACCGAATGGAGGGTGTATGGTACAGAAAGATAATTTAGTTTGTCATCGTCTTTTCGTCGTTATGTACCTATGCACAAACGATGGAATGTTGAAATTTTATGAAATAATAATGTCTGGCACATTATTTTATAAACGTTAAACTGACCAGGTCTCAAACTAAGGAATTCTCTTTATTATATTGCGAGGAACGCAACGCAAAATTAGTTCAAGTCATCACCTGAACCAATTTAAAAAAATCATTTTCTAAATTCGTTTTACCGGGAATCGAACCCGGGAACTCCACATCCTTCTAGTTAATAAATTATAATCTCAGTAATTGGAATATGATGAGGATTTGAAAATACAATTACAATTTACACTAACTGCCTTCTTGTTATCTCCTGAAACAATAACCTAAGTTGTACAAACGGGCTCAAGTAGGTAGAGATAGACAAGCTGTTTGTGCAATTGCCAGTTACAGCCTACCTATAGAATTATGCGTGACGCTCCCCATAGAGAGTTTGTGGTGGTGGTAGGGCAGCGTGAAGCTATAAATCTATAACCGGCGGTTTTGGTGTCACACACTGCCCGCACTCGACAGTAGACATGAAGACTGCGGTGAGTACAAAAAGTGAAATTAATGTTATGTACAGTATACACACGAGCTAATGGTAATCTAATGTCAACAATCGGTAACTACACACACTTATGAGCGTTTCTTGTTTCTTCTTGTTTCTAATTAAACAAGAAAGAGTTGACGAGCACATGTGTTGAATGGTTATATTTTGTTCTCAGACAGTATTGTTGTCCCTGGTAGCGGCCATTGGAGCGGAAGCGCCTTACCTCTTACCGCGTCCTGCTTCGCAGGCGCCTGCCTTCAACTACCCCTCTGCCCTAGCACCGCAGGCGTCAGGGCGCCCCGCACCTTCATCATCACATTCAGCGCCTCAATCTAATTTTGGATATTACTACACGCCGCCAGCGACTCAAATGTATTATCAACAGCCCGCACCACAGCCGCAGTACATTCCACAGCCTCAGCCTCAATACCAACCTCGTCGTCAGCCTCAACCTCAGTCAGGTTACAATTATCCGGCATCACAGCCCCTACCCATAATACTCCCCCAACCCCTTCCTAAGATTCCCCCTAGTTCTTCATATGGAGTACCGCACTTACCTGCGCAATCAGTACGTCCGACGCGTCCTCAGCCTATTCCTGCCTATCAACCAGCACCCCAACCCGCACCTCAGCCAGCTCCTCAACTTGCACCTCAACCAGCTCCCATTATCCAATATCAGCAGCAACAATACAGCCAGTCAGGGTATGCGTACCAACAGCCTCAACCACGTTTTCCAGCACCACTGCCTGTCCAGTCTCAAGCACTGAGCAACAATGCGGCTTCGTTGTCTAGTTATCAAGCGGACTCCAAACAATACAGCTCCCAGTCGCAGCTTCAATCTCATGGGGACATTTTAGACTCTGCCATTATCGACCAAATTACGAATATTATAAAGGAAAATGAACACAGTTCAGCAAAGAGTGCTGGTTATTTTTCACTTGTGTCAGGAGTGTCTTTAGAAAACGCCCAGCCGAGTATCGAACTTTCATCATTTGTTCAACACTCGCCGGGGGTGAATAGTGCTAGTTCGTCTTCCCAGACGTCAGTGTCGGGAACGTCATCATTTGCGACACCAACTCCAGGGACCGATTATGGACTACCCACTATTACTACAAAGAGTCAGACCCAATCGAGTTCAAGTTCTAGTGCACAGAACCTTTTCCCTCAACTGCAACCCGCCACATCTTACGGAGCTCCATATTAAAAGTACAGTATGAAAAGTTTGTACATAATTCTGACATAAACTTGTAAATATTGATAGATGAAATAAATTGTTAATCTTGTAAATAATTCCAGATGTTTTATTTTATAGGTAAATGACTAAACACATAAAGAAGGTTTCACGTAGAGTTGATTTGCATACTCGTATATTTGTAATCTGCGGAACTTTTGCATAGAAATTATTTCTCGTCACACATGCAACCTTTTAACGGTTTATCCGCACATACTATTTTTAAGAGTAGTGGGCACAGCATAATGTCATTCTCCTAAAAAAAATATAAATAATAACCTAGTGGAAGGTAATTTGAAAGATATTGAAGGTGACATTTTCTCTAAATGGCGTTAAACAGGCTTACAAGGTTGATGGAGCGGTTAGAAGTCTGAGCTGTGCTGGTTTCGTACACCGTACGGGAGCTTTGGTGAACTTGCCTTGGGCAAATACAAATTTTAAGCTTTTCTTGTTGAATTGGTGGTGGTAGTGGTGTTGGTGGTGGTGGCTCTACTTTAATATTCTGTAACAAGTTAGTCTATTTAGCATAAAAATGTCATTACAAAACCAATTATGTTTTTTAATGCTCTTAGTAACATACCGTACTGCAATCAACCCAACAACGAGACTCACGCCTAGGACACGTGTCCTAGGCGTGAGTCTCCTCTATAAAAATGATTTTATAAGACCTAATTGTGAAGGTTGTATTTATGTCCATACATACCAGAACAGTAATACATAAGTATCAAATCCATATTATTTTTACACATTTTATGTGCTTTACGTAGTCATAGATTAATTTTCTGGGCTGCAACGACTACGTAGACTATAAAAAATATATTATAAATAAAATTTATGTTTTTTGCGCAGTACGTGTTGTTTTTAAAGTATTAAAAATTGCTAATTTGTAATTTTTTTTTCTTTGGCTGTACATGCCTGTCGACAACGTTCGCAGCAAATGTTTTTGTATAATAATAAAAACCGTTAATGATACGCACGGTGTAAATGTGGCTATTATCGGGACACTTGCATTGCACGCGGGACGTCTTTTTAGTCGAGCACTGTGTTCCTTCTAAAAATTCCGAGTATTGACAGAAAACTTCTTTAGTACGTTTGTCATGTTTCAAATAATTGGGAATTACACTTCGCCGTCTTTTTTTCATAGAAACCTGAAAGTAACGAGAATGAAGTAATCTTCTTCTAAATTTTATGTACCTGTAGGTGTATGTCGGCAGTGGCACAAACCTCAGAAGGCACTTCGTAAGACGTGGGAACGAATGTTTCAACAGAAAATTCACATTGAGTTTCAGCGTCTGTTGTATTTACACGTACGCAGCAAGTACATGATCTATTTATAGTAGTAGGTATTTTGTTCTTTGCAAAATTTTCAGAAGGTTTTTGGTATTTCGTAGTAGGTTTTTGGACTTCTATTTTTAACGACGTCGTCGATTGCTTTGGTCTTGGTGCTGGAGGACCTTCGTGATTAGTTACAATGTCAATGCAAGGCCCTGTATTTGGGGACACATTTGTTGCGCTCTGAGATTTTCGCTTGACATTGGTAGGAACCTGGGTTTCTAATATAGATACTGGTGATCTGAAACATTAATACAATGTAATTTCAAAGTCGAAGTTATTTTCGGATTTTGTGTATTTTAGTTTTTGATGCATAAAGACAATACATACGGATGATAACATTCAGATGCAGCGCGTGATATATTTTTAGGACTCAGAATGTACTCCATACTTTGACCTGTTCTGAGAATAGAACAAAATCAAATATGAAACAAGTAATGTAGGTTGGTACCGATTTTATATTTTATAGCATATATTGACATACTGTTCCTGTAAATTTCTTTCGTTTGGATTTTGTTGTTGTGTTTGACGCCTGTACTTCTTCCACGGGCTGTAAGATATGCATTTACTTTTTTTAAATAATCTTTTGAGCACTGCCTATAACTAAAATAAATTAACATAATTAAACAATACCTTTTTAAGCGTTCAAACCTTTTAGCGTCTGGACAAGGCCCGCAGCTGAAAAAAAGTTTTAGTGTGAGATTTAGATGAAAATGTTAGGAAATGTCACGATATTTTGATAAGTAACTACGATTTCAACAGTATTATATGTAGAATAAATTGTATAATATATCTGTGATGTCAGTAATAACATATTATTACATTATATTCAGTAACCAAATCGAGTACAAGTAAATTCGAAATAAATAGGAATTAAATAAATTTACTTTTTACAACAAGTGTTTCCGGAGACGATGACCGATGTCTGTGTGTTCTTGAGCTGTTTGTGACCTTGAGGCGCCTGCTCAGCCAAGAACTGCTCATACTTGATGTCCAGCCAGGTGGCAAACTCAGACACATCCGGCTTACAACATTGCGCTTCTACACGTTGACTTTGGGGCTTATGATCCTATTGATTCAAATTATACCCTTGTAGGTATGAAATTTAATTAAAAAAAACAAATTTATGTGTTTTGGCGATTTGATTAGTTGTCAATTGCATCGCTTTTGATCGCAAACCCTCTGTTCTGAACCATAAAATAGTTTTTATCTTACCTGAGTATACCACCGGAAAGCCTTCACGAAGCAATTGGGATTATTCTTTTTATATCCCCTCTGCTATACGAAAAATTAGTTGTTAGTACCTTTAAGATAAAAGGTTTGTAGTTTATACGTACGCAGCTATAAGATACAGAAAACGTACTACTTGCGCGTAGTAGACAAGTGGTTGTCCCATAGAAGCGTAAAAAGGTGTTTGGTGTGTGAACTCAGCGCCATACGGGCAGGAGTAATCGCTGTCGCTCGAATACGAAGACATTGCTCATATAAACTGTAATAAGTATTCTAGAAAAAAAGAGGAGTTATTCCCTCACTGCCAATTTTGTCGCCATGCTTGTCATTATCATGGCTAAAGTATTTTTTCTTTTTTATGTCATTGTCACAATTTGAGGTCTTGTAGAGATTACTTCATTGAGGTTGTTATGTAAACTCATGCGAGGTATAACTACAACAACGAGAACAAAATATTGAGATAGAAGTTCTGAAATTAAGTCTAGACTAGATTAAAGGACCAAACACTTGTATCTCGAAGCCCAAGATCCCGATGTCCGATGTGTTCAGTCGTTCGAAGGTCTTCTAGTTAATAAATTCCTTGCACAACAAAATGATGGTAGGTACTACTTATGAAGTATTTAGCAAAACCGACAATTTTCTTGAATCAGCTATAATTACTTTCTGTTTTTGATTTCACCGTAGAAATAATTGTTACTTTAAAAAACTTACAATGCTAATCATGGCCTTAGAGATTTCCTTCGAGAATACTAGATATGTACGAGTAGTTAGTCGCGATAGGTGATTCGATTATAGCAAACAACTAAAGTCCAAATGTATCTGTATTTACTTTTTTCCTTAAGTGGCTCCCAAGTTTGTGGATATAGCAGGCCACTATTTGCACTAACAAACATATCTTTGGATTATTTTGGTAAATTTTATATTTCCTTACATTCCATTTTTTCGACCACGGCTTTTGTTGCAAAAACAGATGGCAGGGCCTATTTTGAGTTTTACATCTTCTGCCGTTAGAAACTTGAGGAATTGGTAAATATAGGAAATGCATTGATATTATAGTAAATAACTATTAATATAATAATATGATTTAGACCTGGAATGCATCCCGCCACTGGAAGCTCTATTGCCCAGTGCAGCCCGTGTTCACGATTATCCGAAGATTGACAAACTATCTGTAAAATTCGATATTGCCAAGATGAAACAGGATATGAAAAGCAAAATCTGGCAGAAGATGATTGCATCAAGTACAACCACAGAAGCAGGTAAAGTTTAATAATTCCGGGAAGAAAAGCTAGTAAATAGGGTAAAATTTGGTAATATAAATATTTGTTATTTGTGGTTACAGCAAAACCACAAATAACAAATATTTACTTTTATTTACTTATTTATTTATTGTCGGGTACTCCACAAACACGTGTAATTATAAAATTTTTTGGTAATGCAAAAAATACCAATAAATTCAAAGATGACATAGAATACATAAAGTTAACTAATATTTATTAATCACAGATCCAGTTGCCTATAACGAAAACAGCATTCACAAATTTCTATTTGGTCCCAACATCGAAGATAGTGAGTACAATCTAATAATTGTCGTTAGGTACCTACTCAAAAAAACGTAGGTTTGTATTTAATCATCATAAATAACTTTTTAAATTGCTATTTTAAGGGAAACTTTTAAATCAGCAATATACCAAAGTACCTGAACCAATAAAGAAGTTAAGCATTAATACCATGGACATTGAACACAATAATAACCAATATAAAGACATGTATGCCGATGGTGGTCTTTTACGGTAAATGATGTAAAAAAAATCACAGTATTTTGAGTAATGGACTTTGAATGTAAATCTATTTCGATGAATATTGACAAATTTCTTTCAGTAGATTCAAAATAAATAGGTGACTAAGGAATGGTTCTACTTGATCTTAACCAAGTTATCTTCTGTCTCATTTACCCTGTTGCAGCTTTCTTTCTTTCTTTTAAAAAACTAGTCTGTGTAAGTCGTATGCACAATTATTAATAATTTCTTTGGCAGGGCGGAAACTTTTCATAATAAAGTGGCCGTACATATGCCGCCTCGCGAGCTCCATTACCCGGGACATTGTAGGCTGAGGGAAACTAAGGATATGATGCAGACAGCCCTCAACGCCTTTGCTATTTTCCTTTACTGCAGTGCAAAAGACATAGAGAAACTACCAGCGTTCTATGTGCTCAGATCTGTAAAATTTATTCAATTCGTTGAAATTTATCTCAGGCTGGTTAGATAAGCAAACATTCAGTTAAATACTTACATAATTTATAGGCTCGAACTATAGCCATGATGAAATTAGCCAAGGAGAAGCTGGCGGCTACGTGGAAGGTAGTGAAGGGTGATCGCAAGACGATAGAGATCCCGCATTCGACCCTGGAGAGGTACAGACCTCTATTCAAGTATCTCGATGGCCGGGAAATGGCTCGTCTTAATCTGAGTGACCCTAGAATACTAACGTTTATTGGGACGCATGCCGAACTTTCTAGACATCAAGTACGTTAATTACACATATTATTCTTTAATTTTTATAGAATTAATTACTTTAGGTAGTTATAGAATAGACTTAAACTAGAACAGAATATCTGGTTATCGAGTTCTTAAGTTTTCGCGATTGTTACACATAGGAAATGAAACTATTTTTCCGGATTTAAATAGCATATATTTGTTTTGTCAAACAAACCAACGTTTCGGGCCCTTTACAGGTCCCATGGTCACTGTTGACTGTGACCATGACCATATCCATGACCATGACCTGTTAGAATATCTGGTTTTTGTACGTAATTATTATGCAGATTTCAACACCAGTTGTCATATGTTTCAATGTTAAAATACTCGTATAGCATCGTAGAGAAATGAAAAGATCAATCAAAGGACATAAGTGTTTACCATTTCATTTATAGGTGGGTATAATAGCGAGCCAGTATGTAAAAATTACTCCCAATTGGTTGGAAGCTAAAAATCTTAATTTGATGAATAACCTGCTTTGCGGTATGCCTATGAATTTAATGCGTAAGGCTTCTAGTAATGTGTATTTGCAGCTCACACAACACGTAAGTGATAGTGTAAAATCTATTTATTTAATAAAAATGTATGCTTGTTATCTTATTTCTAAAGAAATATGTAGTATATACCAAAATCCATTTATTTGTTTAAATTATTCCAGCTATTTTATCACATTCGAGCTTGTGATTCTTTGCAACGTAGCTTTTACTTGAATTTGATGACAAAAACTGAGGTGAGTTACTTCAATAACAATTTCATTTTAATGGCTATTCTAAACAGCTAAATTTTGCATGTGCGAGCTTTTCCTGTCCTTGAATAACATCGAACAGAACCACAATTATATTTTTTTTTATATACTTTATACTTTTAACATTTTAGCTCTGCTATCTATGAGTCGATACAACCTCAAATGGCTTTGGTTGATCCCGCATAATAGTGAAAATATTGAACCAATCACTTTGGAAAAAAATATATAGGAAAATGAAGGATATACACTGGCTATATACGATATGAAAACCCGATTCCTAAAAATTTTCGCGATAGAAAAAATAACACAAACTTACCTCGAAATTTAACAAGAAAACCAATGATTGTTTTATATCAATTGAACTAGATAGAACACGCGTAGAGTATACGGTACACATATTTCAAATGGCTTTAATTTCGTTTGTACTAAAATAAATTCTATAATAAAGCCTGTGTTCCCGCCTCTCGACATGTCCATACATAAATTGTATGGACTAGATTAGACATTTTGGATTGTAAGTAGCTAACTTCTCAAGTCAAACTATTCATACTTTAATTTCACATTCAATAAAACTTTCAGGCTTTAGGTCGGTCGTACAGCTGGAGCTCTCGCGACGTGGCCCGGCTGGGGCTACTGTTGGCGGAGCTTCAGGGACCGGACTTCGCTGCCATCAACCCCAAAGCCATGTCTGGGATAACTGCCCAAGTTAGTAATATTACGTGTAAAATACACACCTTGCTGCAAAAACCAATTTTGAAAGTTAATTACACGAGTCTTTTTTTATAACATCAAGTGACGGGACGAACAAGTCGTGCGCCTGATGGTAACACGCCTGTCCATAACAGTTACAGTGCCACGCAAAGATCTGAGGGGCACTACCACTGCGCCCGTCACTCTAAGATATAAGTTGACAAGTATCATGTGCCTGTAATTTCACCAGTACCCTTACCCTTCAAAACCGGAACACAGTAATGCTGACATTACTGCTTGGTAGCAGAAATAGGTAAGGTGGCAGTACTACCCTGGACGAACCCTTTTACAAGGAGCTCTACTGCTAGTAGTCTGAGTCTTCATTTCACATGCTATATTTCTAATATGTTAGACAATTATCTAACACCGATCTTTTGGTTCCGAAGTAGGGAGTTGCCCTATGTATCAGAGAAACTAAATTATTTCGGGAGACAACACCCTGAACATCCAAGCCAAGTCAATTTAGAAAAATGCGTTATCTATATGCTTTCTTAAATAAATGTGATTTCTCTACATATTTCATAAATACACTAACCGCTGAGCACGCCTAGATATTAATTTCCGAAAAAGCTCCTTTCATATTAGATAATTATTTTCATTCTTTTATAATTAAGGAATGTTCCTACTAATACCAACGTATGTTATTTTATTCGTAGGTAATGCTTAAGATCCCTCCTGAAGTTCTTCAATACGTGACGGAGACTCAACTGCGCTATTTGGCTGTTAAGCCTTTGAATATCCTCGCACGGAAACTAAAGGTCTTCCAAGACAAGCAGATGACATTCGGTTTATCTAGTGACGATCATGCAGTGGTGTCAACTTGCGATTTGATTTTAATATTTCTAGCTTATTTATTGTTAATAAACAACCCTGGTGTAAATTATGTATAATACTTATATTATACTTATATGTAAGTACTTATATTTCAATGAAAAAAATATGAGTTTAATTTCAAATAGGGTGATGGGACCCCATAGGTTGCCAAAAAATACAACAGCACAATAAAAACTACATTTGAACGATTTATTTTCCCTTCCACTATTGAAGTCACTGCGACAATTATTCTACGAAAGTTTCCGTCTTGCGCTGTACAAACTTGTAAAAAATCCAATTCAGTGTTGTAATATGCTCTAAAGTAATTTCCTCTCGTAGCTATAGTATTAGGGGTTAAAGTATGAAATTGCCGTTTTATTGCAATAGGTTCTTTGAATTTTCATAGAATCTTCATGGTTTGAGGTTTTCGAATGAAACTTTTTTCAAATGGTTTCTGTGATTTTTTTTTTTTAATTTGAAACATTTGAATATCGACTTTCAATTGTTTTTGTTATTCAATTTAGACAAGAAAGATGGATACTGCGAAAATTCGAGTGATTTTTGAATACGAGTTCCGACGCGGAACTAACGCGGCAGAAACAGCCCGCAATATCAATGCTGCGTTTGGAGAGGGGTCTACTAATGAACGCACCGTGGTTTTGGTTTAAACGCTTTCGTGATGAAAATTTCGACTTAAAGAACGAGTCACGAGGAAGACCGCCCACACAGGTGGATAACGATGAATTAAGAGAGATAGTGGAAGCCGATCTCACTCACACTCATCTCAAACTACCCAGGAATTAGCGGCATGGTTTAACGTTACCTTACCCACAATATTGACTCACTTGCGTCAAACCAATAAAATAAAAAAATACGAAAAATGGGTGCCTCATGATTTGACTGATCTGCAGAAAGAAACGCGTGTTGAAACTTGTGTTGCCTTGTTGAACCGGTACAGAAATGAAGGAATATTGGATCGAATTGTACATGTGATGAAAAGTGGATTCTTTATGATAACCGGAAAAGAAAAATGCAATGGCTGACCCCAGGTCAAATGCCACAACAGTGTCCTAAAGCAAAACTTACCAATAAAAAGGTAATGGTAACTGTTTGGTGGTCTCAGCATGGTGTTATTCACTATAGTTTTCTCCGATCTGGTCAAGCAATAACGGCAGATGTCTATTGTGCCGAACTCCGAACCATGTTGACAAAACTAGCAGTAAAACAGCCCCGACTCATGAATCGATCTTCACCATTATTGCTCCACGACAACGCGAGACCTCACACAGCACGAGAAACCATTTTGACCCTTCAGGAACTGCACTTAGAAACCATTCGTCATTCTCCGTATTCACCAGACCTTGCTCCAACGGACTACCATTTTTTTCGTGATTTGGACAATTATCTACGTGACAAGAAGTTTTCTTCCCAGGAGGTAGTACAAAATGCTTTCACACAGTTTGTGCAGTCTAGATCGTCGGAGTTCTATCGCAAAGGCATTAATAACCTTCCCATTAGATGGCAGCAATGTATAGATAATAATGGCAACTATTTTGATTAAATAAATTTGTTAAAAATTTAAAAAATAAACAATTTAGATTTTCAGTACAAATCGGCAATTTCATACTTTAACCCCTATTACTTCCTGCCACTGCCGCACTGTAATATTTTTGTAGATGTAACACGTACATACTTAGGTAACCTACACACGGTGCGTTTTTAGTCAATCCCTAAACCTCTTGATCCAAAATCGACTTTCAAATTTCGAACAAAACTTAAGCCCTCCTATTGAAAGTAAAGTCAAAGGAAGAACGTATGTTATTCCTATGTTACTGTTATCATAAATAAATTCGCAATTTTTTATTTTATATTAAAGTTGTGAAAAGGGGTTTGGGATAAATTGCGTCATTTTATTCAAACTTCAAGAAAAATGCCGTCGTATTTAAAGTAAAAATTACGAGGGTTTTCAATACTTAAATGGTTATTTTAAATGTTTAGTGTTGTTCAGGCTTGACGTGACCATGCCGATTAAACATGACATTGTCAAATGAATTCTTATATTTTGATTTAAAAATGTTATTTACTTTGTACTATTTATTTTTTTGTACTACTGTGTCTAATACTTACGCTTATTCTAAACATCTGTATCTGCTCACAAACAAAACTAGGGACTATTTTGGTAATGACGTTTTTCCAATTCACTACACACATTGTAATTATTTTGTGATCACAACAAAGATACCACCATAACTTATTATTTATTTCGTATATACGGCTATTTTTGTCGACCGTTCGTTCGAGACGCATAATCTACAATAAAGCCATTTATTTTATACAATAAAGGTCACAAACGTAATATAAGTTGGTTAATACGAAATTATTCTTTTGCTAAGATTGACTTGGCTAACAAGTAAAACACAATAAGAAATTATAATACCAGGTATAAGGTGCACAGTTTTCTCAAGTTTATTATAAAATTTGTGATTTGTGACTAATTACTTACAGATTTACAATGTATTGCACCACCAATTAAACTTGAGTTACCGAAAAAGCATCGTCTTTCTGGACATTCTGGGAACTTCATGCACATAGATCTTTTTAAAAAGATAGCTAAACCTTTGGCTCTAGCCGCTACGCTAACTACCACGACCGAAATTGGTAAGAAAAGGACTATACTTGTTAAAGGTACATATTTCAGTAACAATGACTTTAGCTTAAACTTTCGTTTGATCTTAGATCCAGTAATCATTATGCAGAAACGGCTTCATCAAGTTCTTTACGGCAACAAAATTCAAGAAAGTTAGTGGAAGAAATATATTTATTCATATGAAAATAAAGTTACTAAACAATTAAATTAATGTAATAATCATAAATGTTTAAGGAGACCTTATTAAGCTGATGAAGTTGAAGACAGAACCTGCAAAGAAAGGTACCATAGCAAGGTTAGAGCGGCATAACAGTTCGGATGACAATCTAGATATATACCCAAATGGACAGGTGATGCGGTAAATATGTAATAATATAGACAGTGCCATTCACTATCAAAGATTAATATAAAGTAGAAAACTAAGACGCACACAGTTTCTAGTCAGAAAGTTTCGTATGTTTTAATTAGAAAATTAGTCAAAGAGTCTCTAGGACTTAAATAACTTTATTGTGTTGTGATACTTATAATAAATTTTCACAACATCATAAACTTGATTCTGGTAGAGCGGAAACGTTTCAAGGCAAAGCTGCAGTCCACCTTCCTCTACAAGAACTACAACAGCCAGGCCACTGCAGACTCGCGATCACCAGGGACAAGATGCAGACCGCCATGAATGCTTTCGCCATATTTCTCTATTGCAATGTCGAGGATGTTTTAAAGCTGCCCGCAGACTACGTCCTTAAATCGGTAATGCTTTCTTTTATTATGTTCATAATCATGATTGATCAGGTATTTCGTGGAAAAAATAACTTATTATACGTAACACAAATACCATGTACTTTATTGAGATAATATTAACATGGATTTAAGAATGTTGGCCGAGGCTTGTTTAGTCGTTTCAGGCTCGCTCTATTGCGATGATGAAGGTAGCACGTGAGAAGCTGTCTGCGACTTGGGAGGTTGTAAAAGGTGATCGGAAAACAGTGGAAATACCACAATGGACTCTGGAGATGTACCGGCCGCTTTTTAAGTATCTCAATGGCCGAGAAATGGCCAAGCTCAACCTAAGCGATCCTAAAATACTGACATATATTGGCACTCACGCTGAGCTCAACCGACATCAGGTATTGATAAAGGTATTGTGAACTTGAATAGAACGTCGATGAATACAAAACTAAAATTGTTTTTAATATTCTAGGTGGGAATAGTAGCAAGCGAGTATATAAAGCAGAATCCTAATTGGTTGGAACCGAAGACCCTCAACCTCATGAACAACTTACTGTGCGGTATGCCTATTAACTTAATGAGGAAGGCGTCGAGCAGTATTTATCTACAACTTACACGTCAGGTGTTTGAAAAAAATTTTGAGTTTGAATAATGTAATAAATAATACAATAATAACGCACACACTCAACATAGCCCCGCACACACACACACACACACACGCACACACGCACACACGCACACGCACACGCACACACGCACACACGCACACTCGCACACTCGCACACTCGCACACTCGCGCACTCGCGCACTCGCGCACTCGCACCCACACACACACACCCACACACACACACACACACACACACACACACACACACACACACACACTCACACACACACACACACACACACACACACACACACACACTCACACACTCACACACTCAACCGAAGACCCTCAACCTCATGAACAACTTACTGTGCAGTATGCCTATTAACTTAATGAGGAAGGCGTGGAACAGTGTTTATCTACAACTTACACGTCAGGTGTTTGAAAAAATTTTTGAGTTT